AGTTATTAGAGGAATGTGTTGGGAGGGGCCAGCTGACTCCGTCCTGTCCATTGATAGATATATTACTATATAAGAGACGATCACACTCTCAAAGGGTCACATTTGGTCGGGTCTCCAGAAGCACATTTTTCCATCGGCGCACTGTTGCTATGGTTACCCCCAAAAAAGAGGACCCCCGATTTCTGTTTCTATTTACCGCTAGATGAAAATAAGCGAGTTGAATTTGTCATGTTTTGTTGTTATTTATAGGCATGCAAAACAATAAAGTGATAAATAATTACAGTGTTTGGTTTTCAGAAGCAAAGTTTTCGATAGGCGCACTGTTGCTATGGTTACCTCCAAAAAAAGAGGACCGTGATTTCTGTTTCTGTTTCTTTTTACCGCTAGATGAAAATAAGCAAGTTTAATTTGACATGTTTTGTTGTTATTTATAGGTATGAAAAACAATAAAGGGATAAATAATTACAGTAGTATTTATGATTAGATTTTCAGACGCAAAGTACTCCAGCGGCTTACTGTTGCTATGGTTACCACGAAGCGATTTGTGCTAGCGATCGTCTGTTTACGCGTTCTAAACTGGTCGTGATTTGTGGTTATTGAAACGTTGGAAAAGCTAGTTGAAACGTACAAAAATGGTACATTTCTGGGACAGCTAAATGAACACTAAAGTGATAAATAATTACAGTATTTATGCTTCTTTTTTTTAGACGCGAAGTGGCCAAGAAGCGTATTGTTACTATGGTAATCTTGACAGACGAAGGCGATATTTGAGCCTGATCTCATGAAAATGCGTATAAATAAATAGTACGCCAAATAAAAATGAAAACTCATGGTATTGATACGCAAAAATGGACTTTGGCGTGCATATGATACAAATAAAAATGACTTGACAAAAGGAAGTTTGTTCAGCACTCCAAACAATAGATGGAGTGTTGAAAATGAGGACAGTCGGCATTCAGTGACTTTGTGTTTGTTTGATAATATAATGCGATTAAAACCTTGAAAATGACGACATTAGTCAAAAGATCGTGAAGCATTTGATTGATATCATTTCTATGTAATGCAATGACATTCCGACATTTTTAAGTGTGACTTAAGTGTCCAAATATACTTCCTAGGGCAGCCGTATGTCAATAGGCTTTATGTCTCCATACAAGAGCCAGTTTAGATACACGAACAGGTGTTTGGTTCTGTATAGAGCATACAAGCAATCACTTTAATCTTCATTACTATCCGTCAGTTATTTGTAATGCACTTAAGAAGTTAAAGAAAGCTCTGCAGCTTCATTGTGGATTCATTGTGCTCTTGATCAACATACTTACTGTATCACAGCTTCAGCCTCTCTGGAGTAACCTGAGGTGGAGTGAACTGTAAATGACTTTTAATTAAAGCATACACTGTAAAAAAAAATCTGTGACATTTACGGTAAAATACCGGCAGCTGTGGTTGCCAGAACTTCACTGTAAAAATGGTAGCAACATTTTAGGTTTTACAGACTTAACTTAAATTCACAATAAAATACCGTATTTCATTAACTGATGCAATGTTAATAAACCAACATATTGAAGTGTTAATATCTGTTTTGAACCATTGTAATGCACTGATAACCACCAAAAACTGTTAGTGATGAGAAAGTCACATGATGAACCAAAGCTCATCACAAACAGCTTTTCTACGAGCTGAGGAGGGCAATACTTATATATAGAAGGTGCACAGTGTCATTCACACAAACACTAAACCCCACTTTGGTGACACACACGATACTGAAATAATGCCATAAACATTAATTTAGCAACATTAGATGCAAGATTAAACCCTAATGTACACAACTAATAAGAAAAACTAAGCAGAAATCTCAACAACAAAAACATCAAATATGAAGTGTCATGCAGGGAATTCTGGGAGTGTTTTTCACTTCCAAAAACCGTATTTTAACAGTATTTTACTGTAAAATTACATTAAATGTAATTACATTTATTCACCGAATATAGTATGGAAACTTACTGTTAACCAGTTAACAGGTTTTTACTGTAGCATTTTTACAGTCTTTTACTGTTAAAATCACAATCATTTTTTACAGTGTATGCTAAATGGCAGCTAACTAAATTAAAGGTCAATAAATGTCAATACGGTTTACAGATGGCACCTTAAGTGGTACTAATGGAGCCAGTGGGAATATTTACATGAAGAACTGCTGAAATACTGGCGCAACCTAATAAAGAAAGAAAGCAAATGTACAGAATGCAACGCTGTAAACCTCGCCACCTTCATATAGGCAGCTTCCTTCTTAGTGCAGCTTCTTAACCCAAATGACTGATTTTAAAACTGTCTTCAAGTCAATTTTCCTCACGTGAAAGTCATGATTGACACATGATGCTTTACAATAATACAATGCAAATATTGAGGTTTTCAGTGCAATATAAAATAAACAAAATGCACAATGCACTTCTAATTTCTCTCAAATGCATCTGTGATCTTAAATGGAAATGTTTACTCTACAAAAATGCATTTTGGGATTGTTTAACCACAAAAGATTCCATGCTACCTTAGTAATGAGTTTATCTTATGAGGCAGCATAAGTGAATATTGTCTAGGTGCGCTGCAAAAATAAATAAATAAATAAAATAAAATGTATTTATTAAAAAAAAATTATAATAAAAAAAAAACACGACACATTTTCAAGCTTACAGTTCACAAATACTAAGAAATGTGAATTACTTGAAGCTACTTAAAAACCCATGTTAGACCAAGAGAATTTCCTGCAAATGTTGTCCCAACTAGTCAAACACAGCTATTTGAACAAATAATTGAAATGTAACAATACTGCTGAAATGTTAAGGGTTTGTGAGCTCCCAGCATGCATTGCAGCATGAATTGCAGCTATTGTTATTAATGGAACACTTGCCTTGCCTTAATACATTTATTGGCTGAATAAGGCATTTTGCATCTACTGAACAAACAAATTCAAACTGACAAAGCAAAGTAGTGTTATTTCTGTTTTACAGTGTGCAGCTCACTAGGCTTTGGAAGAGAATGTGTGAAAAACAATAAATATGAGCTAGGCTAAACCTCAGCAAATGTGTTAATCAGCAGCCTAAACGTAGTCATGTTGTATAGAATATCAAACAGCATACATTCACAAAAATATAAATATGCATTTTCCTTGTACTGTCTAAGCAGATTCCTGTGTTCAGATGATATATATTGTACGCACACTGATCGAGTGATTACGTTTCACCTCCAGGATTTGTGTTTACCCTTACGAAAAATAAGTTTATTCAAGTGTGCTATTAGTATACTTCTTTTAAACAAAAAAATAGGAAAGTATACTTTTAGTCTACTTTTGATGTACTTCTCAGAAATCGGCTTTATGTACTTCTCAGAAATATACTTAAAATGACATTTAAGTATACTTGACTTATAGCCTACTTAGAAAAAGACTAAATATATTTGAGCTATAATTGTGTTCCTAGAAACCGTGTTTTCATTGTTATACTGTAGGGGGTGCTAGTACACATCTTCTGTACAGAATTTCCAAAAACACAAGTAAAGAAGAAACCGAAACAACAGATGCTTCCGCATGTATTCTAACACCATCACCAGACATAAAACAGCATCAAAACTGTGTAAAGTTGATGTAATGTCGACCCATGAAGAGGTAATACTGACTGTCAAGCTTTGGGGTGTTGATCGACTCTATCTACGTTTTGATTATCATTCTGAATCCAATTCATAGTCTTTTTTTCAGCTTTTTGTTCAAAATGTTATTTATTTTTTTATTATTATTTATAAAACTTACTCACATTCAAGTGTTTAAAAAAAGAAAGCATGAAGCTAGAATAAAATGTTTTTGTTTACAAGCAGATACCCTGTTCTTTTGGTGTTTTGTATGTTCAGATATTCCTATAACAAAATATATACAAATTAATACCTAAACAGGGACATAGTAGTATACTTAAAGTATGATGTAAAGTTCACTTAAAGAAAACTTATGAGTATACTTGCAGTATAAAACTACTAAACTAGTAGTTTACTGAGACTATACTTCAAAGTGTACTAAAAATGCTACTACAAGTATTTAATTAGAAAATCAGTATTCATATAAGTTCACTTTTAGTATAGTTGCAGTACAAGCTAAAAATATTGTTGTAAACTAGTTGTATACTCAAAGTTTACTACTGTTATACTTAAAGTGTACTTAAAAGTATACTTTTATATACTAGAAAGTGGGCCAATTTAGTCACAAGGAGTATTTAAATAGTACACTTACAAGTATACTACTAGTACACTGATATTTGTATACTTGCTACATAAAGTATATACTTGAAGTATACTACTTTTTGGTAAGGGTAGGTTTACGTGCATGAAACCGTATTTTCTTTGCTTTGTCTTTTGTGTCGTTGTTCATCTGCAGTGTTGCGTCTTTGGCTCTTTGAGATAGTACTGTGACACTCACTTTGTTTCTCGCGCCGCTCTAAAGATCAAAGGCGGTTTGTTAACTCATGTCAGTGAACAGGCAGGTATTGTTCTCCGCTGACGTACGCTCCGGACACGACGCGGTTAATGATAGCCGAGACCAGTAAATACCTTCATAACACCTGCTCATTTAACTTCTTATCGATCAGCAGACACAATCTCTGATGCACGTTTACAGTGTGCATTGAGAAATGTGTTTATTATGGTCACATGTAAGCTAACCAATCAAATCATGAGTGTTTGCACTATTGCCACCCACTTTTTCAGCAGGGTTGGTTCTGAAAGTATTTTCTTTTCCCCATAGGGATTTTTTTTTTAAATTCTTCGTTAAAGCATTATAAGCCATGAACCAAACCAACCATCTATTGTGTGAATTACAACATTACAAACTATGAAATATATGCAAAATATTTTGACAGCATTGTGAGACTCGTTTATGGCATTTGCGGCGTTCAAGGAGTGGGCGGAGCTCTTTTGACAATTTCCTCACAGTGACTTTCTGATGGAATTTTCTGTACGGAATCATGGGTAATGTAGTTTTTCATCATAAATTATTAAAAATAATAAAAAACAAAAAATTGAAATAATGTAGGCTGACAGCTTCAACAAAAGCAGATACCATAGATTAACAGCCTCGGATCTAAAAGTAGGTTATAAATTATCGTTAAAAATCCATTTCCCATTTTTTTTTTACTTTTTTCTATTTACTTTAATATTTTTATTGATTGTAACCTTTTATTTAATATCTTCTAAGATTGTCTGTTTCTGGTCGGTTGTTGAGAATAAAAATGTTTGTTCTTGAGAATAAAAAATAAAAAGAAGAATAAAAAATAAAATAAAAAAAATAACAAAACATTAATTAATACATATTTATTTATTACCTTCTATTTAATATCTTCTAAGGCTGTCCATTTTTTGTGTGGTTGTTCTTGAGAATAGAAATAAATAAATAGGAGAATAAAAAATTACAAAATAATTACAAAATAAAAATAATTTATTTATTTAGATTTACCCTTTTATTTAATCTAGTTCTTGAGAATAAAAAAATTGTTCTTGAGAATTAAAAAAAAAAGAAAGAATATAAAATAAAAAGAATAAAATGAAAAAAAAAAACATTATTAATTCATACATACATTCATTCATTTTTATTGATTGATTGATTGAACCTTTTATTTAATATCATCAGTCTGTTTCCAGTGGGTTGGGGAGGGACTGAAACTGTCTCTGTACAAATAATAACGTGTTCTTAAGAATAAAACATTTATAATCTACTTCCCTATGGAGAAAATGAATGGAGCTTTATATCTGGAATTAACTGTTGCACTTATTATGGTCGTCCTAAGATGCTTCTGTGAGGGAAATAACATCATGTGCATTCTGGGTAAAGGCATTGAATTTGTTTCAATGGCTTGCATGTTTTTCATAAATATTGGATTTCAGCGATAGGGGCAAAATATTTGTGAGGTGGAGACATGCGTCTCCATTGTGAAAGATTAATAAAATAAGATTCGTCTGTATGAGATAGCGGAGACAGATAGAGCTCCGGACCCTCGACTCGTGTCTGTCCAGCTAACGAACAATAGAAACGCAATTCCTGTGTATTAGAGGCATTTGAATGGCAGAGAATAACAGCTTATGATGGAGACGTGGGAACAATACTTTGTGAGGGAGCAAAACAAAACCAGCGAACAATCGGGGAAGAGTTTCATAAACACAAAATGATAAATTTGATTAGATTGTCACTAAAAACAAGTTTTGTGCCAAAGCCGTGAACTATTAAGCTTGATGGGGTCAATCCAAGTGTAAACAATGAAAAACTAATGCACTTCCATGAAGAAATATGATCAAACTAATACTTTAATGGGAGGAAATTTGACTGTACACAAAAAAATTATTATATATATATATATATACACGCACACACACACACACACACACACACACAGTGGGTATAGAAAATAATTAACCCACCTTTAAAATAATCACATTTTGTTGCTTTGCCGCCTGAAATGAAGATGAAAATAAATAAATAAATAAACCATCACTGATTTGGAAAAAGCATCATCCCCTTGTGTCAGACTTTGCAGTATTCGCATTTGAAATGTTTTTGTCTCCATCTCATGACTTGTGCCTGTCCACGGCTTTATCCCAGAGATGTTTGACGGTGTCTTGCCACCCATACTTTATTGTTTGCTTCAGTTGCACTACCAAGGACTGAAATGCTCCAGGAAAGCTCTTTTCATGCTGAGCTGATCAAAATGAACACCGCTGATCACAGTCGAAAGTCAGATGGCTTTGTGTGCCATTGAGAAGGTTTTTTATTATTTATTTGTATTACATGTTGGTGTTGTATCTTTCACTTGGATGTTATAAGTTGCACTGAGTAAATACAGCTGGATAAAACAAAAACTGTGTCAGCATAAATCTGTTTGTTGTGAAACACAATTAAATATATTATTAGGTTAAAAAGTATTAACATGGTTAAAATATGACTAGCTGTGGAACAAGCAATATTCAGTTAGTTAAACAAACTGTATTTATTGATGATATGCATTTAAAACCCATTCAGTTATTCACATTAGCATCACATTAAATCTATTAGTTTGTTAAAACTGTGTAATGCAAATGCATGGACATTTCATGTGCAATTCAAATACATTAATCGTAATGTTGTGTTTTTTTATTTTATTTTTTTGAGGCACAAATTCTCAGAATTTTTTAAATAAAATATATGTAAAAATCTCAGGTAAATGTATAAAGAGATGGTAAAAACAAGACATTTTAATTATTTTATTTTAGGCAGAATGTGTTGTTTTTATTCGATATAAATCATCACAGTGTTTAATGGACGTGAACATGCAAATGGGCTGATATTCTGATTAAAAATGCATATTTAAAAGTAAAATGTTTTTATTGCACACTTAACAGAGACAAATCTATTAAATATGATTATTATCTAGTTCATTATACCAGTAATAAGTCACCGAAACACACAAATCACATGCAGAAGGAAGTGTTTTGTTCGTTTTTAACACAAAGACACTTACTGTCATTCTTTCCTTTAATGAAATGTTTTGTCATCAGTGTCAGTACAAGATCATATGAGCTCATTCTGACAAAGAGGGCACAATGAAAGGTCATCAAATCAATTTATGAATGAATAACTTCTTTGCGGAAGAGAAACATCACTTGCATTAGCCAAGAAATGACCTTCCTCGACTGTGTGACATGTATTTTTACCTCACTTTCTCTTTAAAGAGGTTTGGCCAACTTCCAAAGTCGTTTTAGATCTCAGCAATGTCTCAAATGTGCAGCAACATCTGCAACTGAAAGTCAAACATCTCGATATGAACTCAAACATTCTCCCGTTAGTTACTTCTGTTAAGAATATGAAGATAGTTTTGTCATTATCAACAATTCTCATAACAATTCAATATAGTCTGCGCTCATTGTGAGCGGCAGGGAGGGGCTTTCCTGTTGGACGAGTCAATGGAATGAAGTCATTAGAATTAATAACTTGTTTAATACATTAACGGTCAAAAGTTTGGAATGATTACCATTTTTTATGTTTTTGAAAGAAGTCTCTTCTGCTTATCAAAGGTGAATGTATTTACTCAAAAATACAGTAAATACAGTAAAATTGTGAAATATTATTGCAATTTTAAAAAACTGTTTTCTACATGAATATACAGTAAAATGTAATTTATTTCTCTGATGCAAAGCTGTATTTTCAGCATCATTCCTCCAGTCTTCAGTGTCACATGATCCTTCAGAAATCATTCTAATATGCTGATTTGATGTTTAATTAATATAATTTTTTATTGGTGTTCATTTATTACATTGAATTTGTGTTTCTTATTATTATCAATGTTGAAAATATTTTATAACTTTATAAAACTAACTACTGTCACTTTAAAACGATTTAATGTGTTTCTTTTCCTGAATAAAAGTATGAACTTATTTTTATTTTTATTACTCCGAACTTTTGAATGGTAGTCTATCACTGTTTCCACATAAATATGAAGCAGCACAACTGTTTTCAACATTGATAATAATCAGAAATGTTTCTTGAGCAGCAAATCAGCATATTATACTGATTTCTGAAGATCATGTGACACTGGAGTAATGATGCTAAAAATACAACTTTGATCACAGACATAAATTACAGTTTAACAGATATTCACATAGAAAGCAGTTATTTGTCATTCTAATAATATTTCACAATTTTACTGTTTTTACTGTATTTTTAATCAAATAATTACAGCCTTGGTGAGCAGAAGAGACTTTAAAAAACATTAAATCTGAATTATTCCAAACGTTTGACCAGTAGTGTATTATGCCTCGAAGATCTATTATGATTATTGATTAACAAAAGATGCATAAAATTGATGAAAATCAAGCTTTAATGCAAATTATCTAAATAAAGCATTTCAGTTTACTAACTCATCTTTTATACTCATACAGACTGGTGCTACCAGACACAAGTGAGCTGTGAATCCCACTGTAAAGGTACGTTGAGCCTCTATGTGCCGTTTCTGTCTCTTAATGTGCCATTATAGACACTTTGCTCGTTTACAGTATCTAAACTAAATCTAACGTAACTTCTCCATGTTGCTCTAAGGACCAGACCGATGGATTGAAGTCAATGCAGACTGTGGGAAGAACAGACAGTCACCAATCAACATAGTGACGAAGAAAACCAAGCTGGACGAGCGGCTGACGCCTTTCAAATTCACCGGCTACCAGACCGTATTCGACAGCACCATGAAGAACAACGGCCACTCGGGTAAGACAGCAGCTGAAGACAAAAACTAAAATAATCTAGTCTGATGTAGAGCATGTAGCTTGAAATGTCTCTTTTGTTATGCTTTGCAGAGCTCCTTCAATGTTTTTGATTGATTTTGATTTGGAGAAATGAAGCATTTTATCAGTGTCTCAGCAATGGATGCTCTGCAGTGAATGGGTGCCGTCAGAATGAGAGTTGATAAAAACATCAAAATAATCCACAGCACTCCAGTCCATCAGTTAACATCTGGAGAAGACAAAAGCTGAAACAAATCCATCAACACGTTTTTAACTAAAATCCAAGTCCATAATCCATAATAACGCTTCCTCCAGTGAAAAAATGGTTTGGTCTGAATCAGGAGAGAAACCTGTACAGATCAAGCACCGTTTACAAGCCAAAACAGCTCTAAATAAATATGTGGCTGGATTTTTATGTCAAGAACAACCGGAGATGCACTTTTTCACTGGAGGAAGCGTCATTATGGATTATGGACTCAGTGTATTTTAGTTAAAAATGACTTAATGATGGATTTGTCTTCTCCAGATGTTAACTGATGGACTGGAGTGGTGTGGATTATTGTGAAGTTTTTATCAGCTGTTTGGACTCTCATTCTGACGGCACCCATTCACTGCAGAGCATCCATTGCTGAGACACTGATGCAATGCTACATTTCTCCAAATCTGATGAAGAAACAAACTGGTCTGTGTGATGCTGGACTGTAATGTTGTGTTTTCCATCTCAGTTCAGGTCAGTATACCCATCACAGCCACAGTGTCTGGAGGAAACCTGGGAGAAACATACAAGGCCGTGCAGTTTCACCTCCACTGGGGCACCAACGGAGGTCCTGGATCTGAACACACCGTCGATGGAGAGCAGTATCCTATGGAGGTGCGAACAACACCATATCAATGATCTACACCAGCCTGCATCAGATTCACTGAATGAAACCCAACACTCGTTTCTTCCTAATTTTGTGCTGCTGACTCCAAAAAGAGTGTCTGTTTTGCTCGAGTTTGTCACACTTTCTCACAAAATATGATGCATTTTGTAGCATTTTTGCTTTCGACAACCATTTGTAAGGTGAAGAAGTCTTGTATTCTCCCTCAATCAGCAGAAAAACACCCCAAACACACGATTCCCGTCTGGATCTGAGCCACATTACAACTGTATGATCAATTCTCAGCCCATTTTCACATGCATGATGTTATTTTAAGCCTAATCCTGATATCAAGGTTAGAATTATTGTCAGTGACAGAAGAAAATGCATGTTTTCTGCTATATCTTTGGTGGTTTTATTACATCCAAACAGTGACAGAAAATGACATTTTGTGAAGAAAAAAGCTTATTTTGTAAAGTTATTTGACATTAAATGGATTATTTGAACCTTATTATTAGTCCTTTGCAGAATATAAGTTAAATAATACATTTAATAAGATAATAAAATAATATAATGTATTTATTTATAATATATAAATTATATTTATAAAAATAAAATAATTTATTAATTATATATACACACACACACACACAGGTTTGTTTTTGTGAAAAGTGGGGACTCTCCATAGGCGTAATGTTTTTTCTACTGTACAGACCGTATATTCTATTGCCCTACACCAACCCTACCCCTCACAGGAGACTTTGTGCTATTTCAGATTTTCAATACACTCCATTCTGTGTGATTTATAAGCGTTTTGAAAAGTGGGGACATGGGGTAATGTCCTGAAAAGTCACCTTCTCCTTGTAATACCTGTCATACCTTTGTCATTATACACATTGATGT